CAACAGTCTTCCCCTATGGATAGCACGGGACTGTACTTTCTTCCATCCCATCAATTAACGGACTTTCCACGTCGAAAAGAAGTATGAAAACGACGTGTGTAGATCACGTGAAATCGCCGTCAGAAAGGAACTTCGATTCTATCTAAACGTCGCGTCGCCCACAAATTAACGGCCTTTCCATGTCGAAAAGGGGCGTATAAACCACGTGTATAAATCACGTGGAATCGCTGTCAGAACATGACATCGATTCTATCTGAAATTTCGCCCACAAATTCAACGGACTTTCCACGTCGAATAGGGCCGTGAATACTACGTAAAGAGGTACGTTCGTTTCACGTGAAGTATACGTGCCCTTGCTGGCTGGGTGACGGCAAACGCCGATATCAAAACAAAAAAAAACAACGTGAAACTTTTTTCAATAATACCTACATATAACCATACATATAAATATTACCTCCTGAATTGCGTCCACAGGTAATAAGTGCCCATTATTACGTTTTTCGCGATCAAAATACTTTAGTAGCTTCACCACCATGTCCCTGGCTACTCCATCAAGTCTTTTGCCGGGCATTTTTTATTCACTTTATTTACACTAATTGTAAAGAACAACAAACCGGAAAACGGTGCAAAAATTAACCGCGCAGGTCTGAACCTTTGCTATACAAACCGTACGCTCATGATCGTCGCTGTCACCGTGACTTACAATATAGTGCGACCTACCTAATAATACCGTCTTTGTCTAACACATTGCTGCGTAAGCGGCAACGCTCCCAACTTCTGTCGTAGCACCAGAAAACATATGTTATTGTTATTCAGTACGGTCGTGCTCACTCGTTAAAAGGAGATGGCAGAAAATCTGCCAGTCGTGGATAAATGCATCAAGTGATGACGGGTATGCCAACATTCATGGTACGGACTATAATAATATATCCGTCTTTGAATTTTGGGCAGGCGTAGATGATGAGTTTCCGGCACAGAAAACCAAAGCGTTCTGTATACTTCTACCATTTTCAATATCCTGCCTTTGCGAAACAGGATTTTCGGCGGTGGCTACTTTGAAGACCAAATACAGATCGGAGCTAAATATAGAAAAAGAACTCGGAGTGTCTATTTCAAATAATAAACGTTGTTTCGACAAGCTTTGCTCGGCAAAGCAGGCCCAAGGGAGTCACTAGTAATTGTTATTATTTTTCACAATTAATATTATTAAATTTATTTTTAATTTAGTATTGATAAATACAGTCCTGTTTATAAGTGTACGTACTATATCAGTGTTAATGTGTACTTTATTTTTGATTATGTCAGAATTTTGTTCTTCATTCCTTTTAGTAAATTATTCAATGTTGTTAGTTTTTTTATTTGCTCGTGTCCGCCCTTTAATATTGACAGGCCTCCCTAGGGGGGTGCGCCCCACAGGTTGAGAAATGCTGCGTGTATGATATTGAGTGATGCGTGGGCTTTAGTAGAGTGTCTTATTTGGTAAGCATCACGAATTTTAACAAGCAGAGAAATACGTAGAGAGGACAACGTGCATTACTGTCGACTTAACCTCTACTGAGCGGGGCCGTGGCAAATGCTTGTTCCGGAAGTTGTTGTATCCAGTATACAACTTCTACCCGTTCAAGTGATTGTACACGCGTTAAGGAATACCTTAGTACCGATTGCTGGGTGGCGGTACAAGTCCGCCAACGGGCCACTTTAGGTCTATTTAACATCACTAACATGTAAAAAGCAGGTGGTAGACAAGGACCAGTCGACCGAGGCAGTACCACCCGCTAGCTTTTCCCAGGGTGTCTTATCAATGTCCGCATGTTTCCACACCTAAGCTATGCAGTCGGTTATCTTCTAAAACAAAGAAATTAATGATGATGGATCCCTCGAACACTAACAACTCCGGACGTAAACTCACTCCACTTTCGGAATGTCCGGGTGGAGGATGGGCTCGAGGGAAGAACATCGACGGTAAAATTTGTTTTTCGAGCATCTGCGGAATTAACAGCAACATTGATGCTGTTCATCACTACCTGCAATCCAATCGTCCCGCCGTGCTTTTCTTGGCGGAGACAAAAATCTCACAGTCTCCACCGATTAACCATCTTAACTTCCCAAACTACGAGGTGCACTACAATCTGAGAAAGAACGGGGGAGTTGTGGCTTTTGTCCGCAGAAGTCTTTCCTGCTCCAGAGATGTTTCTTTGGAATCAGACCGGAAGGACATTATGTGGCTTCGCCTCAACTCCAAAACATCACCCAAATTTATTTGCTGCCTTTATCGCTCTCCCTCGGACCATAACTGGGATGACCTACTCGAATACCTCGCCGTCCAGATCGACTTCCTAAACATCAATCATCCCGCTTCAGAGGTAGTTATTCTCGGTGATTTCAATGCCCATAATGAGCTTTGGTTGGGCTCAAACAAGACCGACGCAGCAGGTCGTGCAGTCGAAGCGTTCGCTCTTACCAAAGTGCTGACTCAGCTGGTGACGAGCCCTACTTTTTTCCCCCGCGTCTCGTCACACGCCAGTAGCCTGCTGGATCTCTTTCTGACCACGCATCCTGTCCCTTTCAGCACGCTGTCCTGTCCCCCCTGGGTAACTCAGACCACGGTGTTGTGGGGGTTAGGTTTCGATCAGAACCCGCTGTGGCAACAGAAACTCGTACAGGACGCAAAACTTGGCATTAGGGACATGCCGAATGGGAGTGGCTCAGAGACTTCTTCTCTTGCTTTTCTAGGAAAGATGTCTGTTTCACTGACGCGGATGCGTCGGCTGTCTGTTCTTCGATAACCGAAATTATCCACGTAAGAATGGGGGAATACATCCCTCACACAGTGAAAGTGCCTAGACCAGGGTCCAACGGCTGGTTGAACAAATCGTGTGACGCTGCTCGTCAGCAGAAGATCAAGGCACACAGAACCTTCTTACAAAACCTCACTGTAGAGAACAGACAAGCCGACGTTGGGTCCAGAATCAAATATAAAGCAGAGGTTCGCAATGCCAAAAGCCAGCACGATATAAAAGTGAGGCACAGGGTAATGTCGGAGCGCAATGGCAGTCGGTCTTTCTGGACGCTAGCCAAGCAGATTGAAAAGAACTTCTCACACAGTAGCCTTCCACCACTTACGTGTCAGGATGGAACTATTGTATTCAACTCACAGGCCAAGGCGGAAGTGCTAGCCAAGATCTTTGCTGCCAACTCCACCATGGACGTTCCCCCCAACGCCCAAGTGCCGTCAATTCAAAGGGTTCCCTGCACTATGCGGGAGGTAACATTCAGGCATAAGACCGTAAGACGAGTGCTCTTGTCGCTCGACATCAACACATCAACAAAGCTTCTGGTCCGGACTTGATTCCTGCCATTGTACTGAAGAGGTGTGCAGCGGAGCTTGCTCCAGTTCTTTCGCGTCTCTTCCAGATATCTTATGAACCCGGACGTTCCCAGAAAACTGGAAATTTGCTCATGTCCAAACCATCCCAAAAAAGGGATCTAAGACTGACCCTTACAACTACAGGCCTATAGCTCTGCTTTCTGTTTTAAGTAAGGTGATGGAGAGGTGCATAAATCGCGAGCTTCTGGACTACCTCGAACGTCACGGCTTGATTAGCGACAGGCAGTATGGTTTCCGGCACCAAAGAACCACAGGGGGCCTCCTAACTTACGTCACTCAATTGTGGAGTAAACTCATCCAGCCATATGGTGAGGCTCATGTCGTTGCTCTTGACATCACGAAAGCGTTCGATCAGCTGTGACACGGTGCCCTCTTAAGCAAACTTCCATCCTATGGCTTCCCAGAAAAGCTTTGCAGATGGGTGGCTGACGTTATCTCTGGCCGCAAGATAACCGTCGTAATTGACGGGTTCTCCTCTTCATGCCACAACGTCAACGCGGGTGTTCCCCAGGGATCGGTCTTGGCTCCGACACTGTTTCTCTTACATATTAACGACCTCCTTTCCTGGACGATCAACCTAATCCACAGCTTCGCTGATGACAGCACTCTACATGCAGGAATTCAGAGTGATAAGCCGGTCTCTACCGCTGAGTTGGAAAAAAGAAGACTAGCGATGACTTCCTCTCTGACAAGAGACCTGGAGGCTCTCACTGCTTGGGGACGCAACAATCTTGTACAGTTCAATGCTTCCAAAACGCAGTATTGTACTTTAACGAACAAAAAGCGTTCCTGCGCTCACCCGGTTTCGATGGATGGTCGAGTTCTGCCAAAGAGCCATTCATTTATGCTGGTCGGAGTCCAGATCACCGAGGACCTGATCTGGCACGAACACATCTCGTCAATAGCTGCAGCCGCTGGGAAAAAGCTAGGCTATTTGTTTAGGGCTAAGAAGTACTTTTCTCCGCATGAGCTTCTCACTCTATTCAAGGCCCAGATAAGACCTAGCCTCGAGTATTGCTCACACGTTTGGGGTGCAGTCTCGGGACTCTTTCGCACCGGCGGGCTGTCGGCAATCTAGCTCTTTTCTACCGTTACACCAACGGGCTTTGCTCCTCAGATCCCTCTTCCATGATGCCGCCGCGCGATGTGCCTGCCAGACAGACCCGCCTGACTTTGGCGTCCCATCCTAACCGTGTCGAACTTCGTACATCCAGAACCAGCCGATACGACCGCTCCTTGGTCCCGAGGGTGTCGAGATTGTGGAGCAATTTACAAGAGGAAGCTTTTCCCAGTTCTATTAACCTTAGGCAGTTCAAAAATCGTATTAATAAAATTTCTTTGGGATCATCATAACAGCCGAGGTGTTCCGGCATTTAGGCTTCTGCCTGCGCGGCTGCTTCGATATAAAAAAAAGATGTTAATATCGAAATGGCTGAATTTGATATCGTGTGTTTCTGTTGCAATTAATTGAGAGCGCCAATGGCTGCCATATTTTAAATGAAAATCGGAAAAAGAACCTCATGTCCCCTTCTTCTTCTCCAAAAACTGACCATTCATTCAGGGTTACGGGCCTAGAGGAATATTGGGTAGCATGCATAAATGAAAAAAGACATATTATTTATTGCTATATTGACTTTTAAGATATACTGTTAGGTGCATATATCTCATACCGCCAATTTACCCACTACCAGTGTCCCTAGATAATTCTTTTCTCTTTAAAGAACCAATGTCCTCACGTAGCTCTAATCGTTCCGTTACTCAAAATCATCTCCTTCATGGCCTTCCTCTTCACCTTTCCGGTGGCTGTTCTGATGAGCTCATCAACAATCTTAACTCCAGCTCTTAATTTTTGGTATTCACCAAGCCTCTCGTCTGCATACTTCTTTATGTCTTCTGGCGAGACGTTCTCGTGTCCTTCTTTCAATACTACGAGAGCCATTGCATGCTCTCCATCTTCAGAATGAGGAATTCCTAAAAAAATTATGGGAGAATTATAAAATTTCCAGGTGAGCCTCTTTATGACTATTCCCTTCTCATTGGTCAGTGATGCCACTGCAGAAATGTAAGAACCTTAGTTGTTTTCTTTAAGGGCATGCTTTTGGAATTTTATATTTGGGTAAAAGACCTGGTAGAAAGGTTGGGAGGTGTCATCCTGATCGGGACCATGATCCTTACAAGGCAAGTTGATTTTCATTTGTTTGTGCTGGAATAGATCTGGCACTAGTTATTCGATATTTCAGAAAACTTGAATTGCAGGTAGCTTTTCAAGAGCACAGCTTATGTCTTATTTTTAATGCATCTGGAAATGTACGAAGACAAAGATTATGGATTGAATGCGAAGGTTACGTATTCAAAGAATTCTTTTTGTACGGTTTGCCAAGAGTCCATACGCCATTGGGAGCCCTTTGTTACAAAACTTTTTTAGAAAGTGTCTAGATTCGCCTATGCAAACGACATTTTAAATAAAGTATTCTAGACTTTTTAAGTATGATACGTATTAGGAGGCAATAAAGGCGTCCTACAATTGTAGGAATGACCGACGATACGGCCCTTAGCTACCAAAACAAGATGGGCAGTTCGAGTGTTATTCATACCCTTATAAAATAGCTCCTGCTCTTATTGATAGGTACCACCCTCCGATTATTGTGAAAGATAGATTAAGTAGCAAGTATCCGCAAAAGAAATTTTCCCCCGTTTTAAGACCCAATATAGTGTCGGCTATGGCTATCTCATCAAAAAGTTCATGAAAGTTACGAGGATTTATCTGACAATCTTGCAATGATTAAATGGCATTACTGTAGAGTAAATCTGGCGTCCAAACTCTAGGTATATGTGCTTTTTTGACTTGCTCGCCATGATATTGGAGTTTGATTATCCTTCGAAAAAGTTTACTCAAACGATTCGATATGTCGGAAGCAGACCAAACCAAGAAGACTCAAACTAATAGTCAATAAAACGCCATAACCTGAAGCTACTTTCACATTAGTCCACTTTTTCTTTTCCTTCCACCTTCAAAATCAACATGATCTTAATTTGACTTTGTAAAAGTCAGAATCAAAGACAAGGAAACAACTTCGGCTTTTCCGAGCCATTGAAAACCTACCTGTGCTATTGAGTTTTCTGACTTGTCGAGCAACTTGTCCCAGATCTATTCCGGTATAAAAATATGAAAATCGACTTGCCTTGAAACTGACCTTGTAAGGATCATGGTCACGATCAACACGACTCCTTCCAACACCTTTCTACAAGGTACTCTGACGAAATATTTATTTTAGTATACTAATCTCGAATATGCTGTCTCACAAAGCCCAATTTCAACTAAAACAATTAGTCTCTTGGGACGTCTCCTCAATCTTAGCAAGAAACTGATTAGTGTTCTACCCACCCGATGTGTTTTAGATATGACATGCAGATACTCAAGGATCTTGAGATATTTTCTTCTATTACCATAATCGCCCACTGGGAGACTGAATAGCGATTGTCGGTTGAACCTGTAAGAATCTCAATTCACATTTGATAGCCGGGTCTTCACTCTGGCCGCGAGATGCTGTCGATTATGACGGTATAGTAGATGTAGTATGCTTGCCATTGAATAACAAAACATACTGCGTCTTTACCTATTGCAGCTGCCTCCTTGACAGCTGGATACGCCATAACGACTTCTTCTACAATAGCAGGGAGTACATGCCATCCTCTGTATTTAAACATTTCCTTAATTCTGTCGTCAATGTACAAGCAGTTATCTTCGTCAACATAAGCAACATCTCCTGTTCTCAGGTACCCTTCGGAATCGAAGGCATCAGAAGAGTCCATTTTGTAGTAACCGTTCATGTGAAGGTCAGTTTTTAGGCGCAGTTCACCTTTTTTGTTTGGACCAGTGACTGGTTTTTCGGTTTCCAAGTCGACTATCTGAAAAAACATGTATTTGTTCCAACCATATTTAGAGATAGTTATGACTATGGTTGGTTAGAATTCATGGAGCCAAATATTATTACACTAAACATTCTGATTCTAGCAGCGGATTCTAGTAATCCGTCACCAAAAGCTGTTAATGTGTTAAACGCGGTTAGTGGGTTACGAAAGCATTTTTATTCTTAGATGTAAAGAATTCTTTGCATACGTACATTTAGGAAAATTGCAAACAACCCGATTGTAGTAACCGACAATAATGAAGATTTAATTGCGCAATAAAGACATTTTGACTTTATACAATTTATTTATACAGTATGTCTCAGATTCGCTTCTCTATACAGGGATCCCGGCTCCTGTTATACCTACAGCAAAAGTTGAATGGGGAAAGTTTTAGAGGAAACTTAGTGCTTTCGATAGCCGGGTTCAGATTTACGATCGGTCAATCGGTTTTTGAAAATATATGCGAAAAACCGAAAATGGCGGATTTTGTTTTTTGCCAGTAAATCCAAAACGGTTAATTTTTCAGCTGTCAAAATGTGACATTACTCTTACATTTTTTTAAGAAAAATAAGACAGCATGTATGACAGGTCTCAACCTCTTTTGTTTTCGAGCAACCCGCCTCAACATTCATTTTTCTCATAGCCGCCATATTGGATTTTTTGATTTTTGAAAGGAGTGTAAAATTTCCAGTTTAGTGATGTCTCACAAGTGCATAAAAGATTGGAGTATCACTGAAATATCATCACACGTAATGTTACGTATTTGTGTTTTTCTAAAGAGGTTATGATTTATTTGTTAGAAAATAACACATTATCGACTTCTCAACAAGTTAATTGTTTTGGGACAAATTCCCAACTATGAGTGTGTTGAAAATACAAAAAAAAAATACAAAATCGGGATTTTCATTAGACTTCCTAGTATACCACACAGTTTCCTTAAGTCCTTGAATTATTGTAGGTCTGTATGGATGGCACTTATTCTCATTTAACACTCACTGTACAGCGCTAACATGTCAAAATTTTGTGCGAGTTGCTCTTACAGTTTACCATAATTTGGACCGCTTACCACTATTTATTAAATACTTGTTACCGAGTATAAATTTACGGAAAAAACAAAAGCACGTTTCGCGTCTAGCCATTAGACGTTCGATTCTTCCAAAATGTCTAGTGGGTCAGTATCTGATCGCTCGTATTTCAATGATTTCAGTATAATTCAAAGGAAGTCAAGAAGTTTTTTGCATAGGATTTGCCGTTCTTTCGTCATATCCAAAATAACCATACTACCAGTTTACCCGATTTCTTATAATACCTTTTTTTGCACCGCTACTGATCATTGATGAAAATGAATTATACAGATTCTGTTTCACCAAAATTTCATAAGCTCAATTTCGGTTGAACGTATTATTGCACATGCAGTGCTTTTCAAAAAGGTCATCCCTACTTATTTTTTAAGGTTTAAGTAACCAAGCTGAAATTCTGAGTAATGAAACTGATGCATGGTTGCTATATTTCTGCGTAAAAGTGGCAGTTGAAAATTTTAAGATGGCGGCGGAGCTTTGGATCACTTTTACTTTCTACGCCACTGGGCGAGGAAGTATTGTAATCGCGAAAAATGTCAATGTTTTTTGTCCCAATTTTTTGATATTTATGCGCTCCCAACCCCGGTAATTCTAGGCACCATATTTCACACATCTTAGGTTTTCCCGTACATTAGTCTCCAACATTTAGAATGATAGAGAAATGTTTTTGATACGCGTCTCTTTCTGCTACCTGAGCACAGCGCCTCGCCTAAGTGTCTGCTTAATTGTTTAGCTGATACTGCGGCGCTACTTCGATGGGCGTAGCTGCGACTGAAGATATGGGAAGGGGCAGCGTTGCCAGATGGACGGTAACTACCGGTAGGGCAGGGAAATAATGTATATGGGCTAAATGTATGGGTCTGTTTGACTGACTTGATTCGTTTAATTTTCGTATTGTATATGTCCGCAACTAATTTTTCTCGATGAGGATTTGTGCTGAACTCAGTTCTTTATGAACGTTGCGTAGGAAGTCAACTTACTTGATATTTTTTTATACCAAATGAAAGGTCATGTGATGCCTCATTTTGAAGATTCTCGTCAATACGTTATAACTTTATAGAATCACCACCAAAATGGCGAACTAGGAGACTGTCAAAGTTGAGTGTTCTTGTACATTGAGTCGCTCATCAAAAAGCTATATGTAATAAAACATGGAAAATTGCCTTACAAAAATTTTCAAAAACTGTCTAATATTTTTAAACTGAATGTACCATATTTTATTGCACATTGAGGTAGACCCCTCTTAAAAGAAGAAGATGATAGGCTATATCGTTTTGATAACTAGTTGTTGAGTTATAAGCGATTCAATGTACAAAAACACTCAACTTTGACAGCCTGCCAGACCGCCATTTTGCAAGATATTGGTTTCATATTCGGAGGTTATATGGAACTCGTAAGTAGCTTGATAATAAGGTACAGATTCTATTTAAAAATCTCCCAAAATGGCTCCCAGCCTGAAATTTTGAACTGCTACTTTTACGCTAAAATATAGCATCCATGAATCAATTTGTTAACCTTAATTTCGGATTGCTAACTTGACGCGTTCCAAAAAGTAGAGGAGATCTTTTTGTAAAGCACTATGTTTAATGTTGTTCACAGTGCGAGCTGCAATCTTGTGTTCTTGCGAATTTGCTCGACTGTGAAGTCTACTGACTTACGCAACAGAGCCAAGCGATTCCGCTTGGCTGAACTACACACCTTCCATTGATAGTGACTTATGATCTTCCCGACAGTGGTAGGTTTCTTCCTTTGAAGATCATGATCTTTCGGGTCATACAAACATGATATAGCTCCAGAAACTTCAGTCTGACCATAAACGTTGACCACATAGCTACCTGGAAATGCTGCCATCATGTCCACCATCTGGTTTGTACTTACGGTAGTGCTTCCCGTAACGAGAAGCTTCAGACTTCCGATGTCTACATCTTTATTTTCAGCACGTCCAACTACTACTTCGTGGATGTAGTACGGTGGTACAAACGACATTGTCACCTATAGCATTACATGAAGTGAGGTCTTGCTTAAAATTCTGTCGGTGCGGCACAATTTCTGCCAAAAGAATGTTGGACTATTTTTTTGCGACGCAGTTACTCTCGGGAAGAGTTTAGGAGCTATTCGTGTCTAGGTGTAGTGATAGCATTGTAAAATATGAACGTGCGACGAAACATCTGGAAGTTAAGCAGGGAGGCTCCGTTTGTCACTAACATTTGTGAGGTTCCACTCTAAATGGATTACGGCAAAAGCAGCGTAGATGTATGTTTTCTGAAGTAGCTGAGATTAATTAGTCCAGGAAGTTCTGCCCGAAAAAATATACTTATTTAGTTCTTTTGCATAATCTTATCACACAGATACCTCTTTTATAGAACCTGAATGTTGCCAGGCCCATCATTGCGTCAAAAATTGTTCATTTTCTAAACAGGTTCCAAAGATACGTACGTTTTTTTGGTCATTCTGAAAAAAGGTTATTTTCACTAAATATGATGCCTTCGTAATGTTACATTTGAAATGGTGCGAAATATCTGCTATTTTTGACACTGGAAAACCAGAAGGAAAATCGAAAATTTCCAAAGCTTCTAAATGTTCCTCAAACTACCGTTAATAATTCCAAAACATTTTGGAGGGTATCTATGTTATTTAATTGTTAACTAAGCGCGTGCTCAGTGTGTTCTGCTCTGTGTGAGCACGAAAGAGATACAGCATAGGGGCTTCTTGACAGGAGCACAAAATAAAACAGTCTACGGAATTTCCTTGGTCTCTTTTGAATCAGGTTATGCAAAATTTCGAATCAGAATACTTTTCCGAGCAGATGCGGAAATATGCCCTGGACTGATTGGAGAGGTTTCGAGACATCCGGTATGATGTATGATAAAAATACTATAAGTAGTCTGGCGGGTCATTGGAAGCATATGTTTTGAGACAGTCAACTTTGCGGATATGGGAAAAATTAACGAAAAAAAAACAGGAATTTAAATCAGTTAGAATTACTAAGGATGCTAAAAAAAGAACACTAAGTTTCCCTCAATTTCTAAGCCATTTTTGTTTATTTATGGTGGAAGGTGGACGATTTAATTTCATAAAATATTGTAAAAATGCTTCAGTCATATGTGTTTACATGAGACAAGTAAAACAGTTAATTTCGTTTTTGCTTTGGGACAATTATTTTTCGAGATATCTATAACACAAAGCACGGTCTCCTAAAATACCTACCTCTAAAAAGAAATCTCAACTAACCCAGAATTCATCCACCTTTAGCCGTAATCTACCTGGAGTTAACTCCACGCAATGCGTAATGCATTACAGCAGTATCCATTATGGTTCGAAGTTGGATTAGCTTAATTAAAAGAATTTATGAGAACGTTGGTTAAAATATAATAGAAATATGACTTTCAGATTACAGATAAAAATAAATGCAAGAAATAGACAATGTTCTAGGTATAATAAATTATACTAATTTATATACTACGCAATGTGGCAGGTATTGCAGTTCTGCTGGTTTTGTGGTCAGTTGTCTTTCTGTGGCTCTATATTCCTAACCTATTTATTTCATGTCCGATTTGGATATTTATTAACGAAGCTTTTCTATGAAACAATTTAACACAGCTTCAAGTCAACATTGAAAAAAAAAATAAGCAACAAGTTATAACTGTCAGTAGTCAGTATTGTCAAGTTACCACGGTTTACTTTAGTGATCAAAAAAACTCTTGTTGTGTTGCCATTTGTTACTTGTTGTCGCGGTCAAATAGTCTAATGAAATGCTTAAAGTTTCGTTATTTTTGTTGCACTAAAAACCCTCTAATAGCGTTACCGATCCTAATGCTATCTCATTTGAGGAATTTGGAGAATCTGGGGAAGGTGGGTTAAATTACAAGTCGAATCTCTTCAATAGACGGGAATCAACCAGCCAGTGTCGACATTTATATTACCTAGGATGACCGGCTCTGTAATACTGGTAATAACATTCTGTATGATATTTGAAGGGTCATTTTATATTCGCTAGTTCTAATTTATGTTAAGATATCTATAAACTGAACGATCTAATAATCAAAAAGGCGAACCTGGCTGCTTAGGGTTAACCTCGTCTAGAGTCGACCTTAGTTATCTTGATTGATTTGAAATCTGCAGCCTGTAGACATGATTGGAAGCTTTGTGTATCAAAAAGAGTGATCCTTTGTTACAACCTTCTTGGTTCATGACAGTTATTTGTTAGGCAATCTTCTCAGTCTGTTGTGAGGATGTCACTTATTTTCAGTGGAAGGATATAGTTGAGGATATCATTGAAAGTGGTGCTTTGGCGAATATCACAAACATTGCGCAAAGCTTCGCATTTTAGCAAACATTTTCTGATCTAGACTTGTTTACTCTTCGATAAATTTGCCGATTTCATGAACTTATTGCATGCCAAAATGTTACTGGCAACGAACTGAAGTTTGAGAGTATATAGTAGACATTATTTCCCGCACATAGGCTAGGTAAGTAGTATTGTCGAATTTTAGAGATTTTTGGAATTTCTAAGCCCCGAAATTATAAGAAAAAACACATGAAAACATACCCAAGCTTTGTTTTTATAATTTTTCAATTGCCAACAATGTTTCAGCATATCAACATATTTCTGAAAGTATTAGGGTCGGAAAAAATATATCGAATAATAGCATTTCAAATTACTGATGTCTTCTAGCGCGTCATCAGAAAATAGTTGTGGAGTTCATAAACTATGTATAGATTAAAGCACTTTTATTAAACATTGGATAGCCGATATTGTTTTGTGAGTCCTCATTATTTTTGAGTTAGTATCCAAAGATTTTACAGTCTAGCTCGTTTCGGTGTTTACAGACAAGTATAAATTTTTATATACAACCTTTCGACTATAACGTGACTACAACATAGCCTCTATTTGGTCGTCTTCGAATATTAATGAGTAAAGTAAGTATTTGGTAGAGGAAAGCTTCAAAGCACGGACTCTCATTTTGTTATTGCTTCAAAAAAATGGCGTCATGTCGGTTGACTCTCCACTTGCCACGCAGCGCTGAAATCAGATCATTATGTTTGACACAAGTTAGCTCGTCTAAGCAAAACGTTAGCCGCGGACATGCATACCAAAAAATTTAATTCAATCAGATCAGTCAAATCGGCCCATACAATTAGTCCATAGTTGCCACCCATTGGACACTGTTGCGATCACATTTCTCTCCTACCTTACCGTCAGTGTCGAACATCTAGCATCGTTGCTATGACTAGCCCCGCCAGCCAGCCATCAACTGCGTTACGGGTATATCCAGAGACGCAAGTATTTCTCTCATTTTAGGGGCAAAACATATCATTTCCGATTTTTTTCGCGATTGTATCGTATATATGGCCAGTGGCCGTCAAAAATATGAAAAGAAGCTAAAAGTATGTGTTATAGGTTTGTATCATTTACCTTGTAATGTAAAGCTGGACCACTAGTAAAAATTGTCAATCATCAGTTAATATTTTAGTCTTATGCAATAACACAGAACGCACGCGGTTCTTCAGGGAGCATCTATTAATTACATGAAGCAGCTTTGACGATTTCCTGACCGTCGTTTCCCCCTGGTGAGATGTGAGATTTGGCTTGACCCTCTCCCCTGACCCCTTATCTCACATGACACAACTTGTAACATTATTTTTATTTAAGACTAGTGAAGACTACCTTTTAAGATTGGTTAGATCGTAGTGTAAGATCACAATGTTAAAATTAAACAATAGAATTTTTGAATGAAGACTGCTAAATCAGTAAAAGAATGTTATTTATTCTAATTCAGTCTATGGTGGTACTTATGGTTTACTTCAATTTCACCCAATTTTCTTGCAATTTTATATTTGTTTCTTGTGGGGAAAATTACGTGATGTTGGTCGAGACCTTCCTTTTCCCCACGTGAGATTGGGTGATTCAAATCGACTCTCTGAACCCCTCACGTAATTAATGACGGCCCCCAAGTCCTTAGTGACAAAAAACACGTAATCGTACTTTTTCGTTTTCTGCATTCAACCACCCATTCTTGTTACTCAAAAAGGCATTTTAGAAGGTCTCCATTATATTTTATTAGTTTATCTCGTTATTCTTTCCGTAATTCATAAGGGTTTTCGAAAGAATAGCAGATTTAGACAACTTAGAGCGATTCGGTTTGCGTGATTAACACCAAAAACATGTTTATCCAATAAAATTTCATTCATACGTTTAAATGAAGCACTCAGGTTCTTACCATTTAAGGAAATATGTAGGGTAAAGGTTAATTTACATATATCTATTATTATACTCGTATATAATCTAACCTGCAGATCCGCGTTTTTCCCTCCTTCAAAATACATATCAAGCTACTATTTATATTTGGGAATACCGAAGATTCAGAGAATGCAGAACCCATGAGCGCAGGGGTGCGTTTTAGGAGAGGGATGCTTTTTGGAGCACTTTAATGTACCATTATTCATTTCAATTCAGAGAAACCTGCCAGTACTGGCTAAATCATTTCATTTTACTTCTCATGCCTACTGGCGAGGAAGTATTGCAATCCCGAATATATTCTAAAAAGAGATATTATGTTTTTTGGATGTTATATGACACACCGCGAAAAACCATCGGTCTGTCTGCCTATCGAACTGCCCGTTAGATGGCAGTTTTTGAAAATCGGTCCAGTGGAAGCAGAGCTAGGGGAAAAACACGATTAAATAAAAATCGCTCAAACTTCGTTTTTTGACGTTTCATAGGCTCCTGAGTTTTTGAAACATTTTGTAGGGGTTAAAGATCGGGGGTTGGTTTGTTGTAGAGAGTAGGTAAGGGTAGATATCATTTCTTTTGGCGGCAATATATTTATACGCTTTCCACCAGGGTAATGCTACGCACCTTTTGGTACATATCTCATCTTAAATATCCCCTCACACATCATAGATATCCCTGTGCATTTGCCCTTAAAACTTAAAATGATAGAGAATTATTTTCAACATAAGCATCTCTGGATACCATTTTTTGATGTTAGCAGGTATATCAATTCATTGTCAGCCCCAGAAATTCTACGCATCTATTATGTACATACTTCACGCATATATTTCTCCGCACATTTGTCTTTAAATATTTCAGACATGACAAGCGGTCGGTCGGGACTACGGCAGCCTTCATCGCGAAACCTTGCTGCGTCGCCGGTCTCAAGTTATATTCGTATAGCATCTTGGCTGACGCCTATAGCATGGTTGGCACAGTTGCCAGACGGGGGATACTTTCGGTAGGAAAGAAATTAGCGTTAGAGTTATCAAATGGATATGGATGTATGGCACTGTTTGGCTGACTTAATTTTTCTGTTGTTTGTAGCTAGCTCAGAGGTCATAACGCTGAACATAATCCTTTATGAACTGATGACAGCATTGACACCATCTGTTTTATTCGAGTGAACGAATATGTAGTAGTTGTTGTCGGTCACGTATTAAGTTCGACCCTCATCATTGAGATCTCGCAAACTGTAGGAGATTCGAAGTCGCTTAAACGGGGCAAAATTGCTTTAGGTAAATCAACAAAATTTCGCTTAGTAAATTTCAAGATTCAAAAAACTTCCGGAGAGAGATGAAAAAAAAAGAATTTCCCCAAAATCGTTATAGTTTTTCCTGGCTTTATCTGTAGTGTAATTCAAAATAGATTGTATATTAACATTGCCACTTCTTCTCCTCTAGAAGATGGCATAATTAGAATTTCAATATGATGTTTCACCTCTTGTCCTTCAGCAATAACTTTCTTTTTCTTATGGACGCCATATTGGATTTTTGCGCAGATTAAATTTGCCAAATCTTAATTATTCCAGAAATACAGAAATTCCTAGGTAGGCCTTGAAGTTATCAGATTTCATTTGCTTCGTATACCAGATCAGACCTCAAATTAAACATAGCAACAGAGTTTAGAAGACTGCGAAGGGAAATAAATCGAGCAGTGTACAGCAATTTACAGAGAAGAGTTAGCCTTTGCCTACCAAATAACGGACAACATTTTGAACATCTGCTATGATTAAAATTTTCATTTTGTGTCCAGGTTTCATCATACCTGATGGCTAACTAGGATAATACATCACTGAAAAGTCCATTTTAATGAACAAAACTGCAATATAGTATCCATATGAAAAAAAAAGTTGGTAGTAGAAGTCGAAAGAAGAAATGTCGAATTGAAAATTTTACTGCGCCATCGTGTAGAGGAGAACAAGTAACATTGACAGTATGCAATTTATTATGAAATCTCATCTCAAATAAATTAAGGAAACATAGTGATCTTGGGATAAATCTGGTATCCGGAACAACTGAAATCTGATAATTTCAATGCCTACCTAGGAAATTCTGCTTTTTCTGAAAAAAAACGAAGGTTTGGCAATGAAATGACGTATTCTACATTTTGAGAATCGAAATTATAAGCTCTATTTATCTGTGCAAAAATCCAATATGGCGTCCATAAGAAAAAAGAAAGTTGATGCTTGAGGACGAGAGATGAAACGTCATACTGAAATTTTGATTATGCCTTTCGATAAAGAAGAAAAAGTGGCAATGTGAACGTGCAACTTATATTGAAATCCCACTACAAATAAAGCCAGGAAAAAATTTAAATGATTTTGGGAAAAAAAAATTCCGCCTCTCTCCGGAAGTGCTTTGAATTTCGAATCTTTCCAAGCGGAATTTTGTTTATCACCTGATTACGCCCCCATTTAAGCGACTTCGTATCTATTAGAGTTTCCAAGATTCCACTGGTGAGGGTCAAATTCGAAACACCCTGTATATAATGTGTTTTCTATAGAAGTATTAATTTAAGCTACAAAGCTTTTGTTAGTAGGTGCATTTGCATTAAGTCTGAAGAAACCTTCACGATTAATAGTGCTTAAAAGATATTTTGTTTGTGCCAAATCACCACTTTGTTATTCTGAAGTAAGCAGCTAGTTGAGCGGTTAGTATGTCTATAGTAAAAGAGCTAGTTTGCTTAGAACTTACATAGCAAGGATGTATTGAATTTTTCGGAATTTCCGCGGCTAATGAGACATCTGCGAGGTGAGCAAATCCATTCCTTACATCATACAAGAAAGAGTAAGTTGTATGGAGTTTTAGATCAGATAAAAACGGTTTTGTGTAGCGATTTTGAGTATACCTCTTAAGCATCTAGCTCTTCTACTATGCCAAAGCTTACAGAAATAAGTATAAGTTGGATACCTGGCAGATGAAATCGAGAAAAGGTTTTGTATCTCAAAAAGGAAATTGATTGAAATCAAGCTTAACATATATTTCACCAGAGAGTCATTAATGCCCTTCATTTTACTCTGCCGTGGCACTTTCAGGGAATCCGGTCCCAGAAGTCAGAAAAAATGCGTAAGTTCTGTTCAACCTACCAAGAAAAGCAAGAGATTCGCGTGGGAAATTGTTTTAAAAATTAACAAAAAAGTGAAATTATTCTTCTTGAGTAACACTAGTTTAAACTCTTACTTTTTGAATAAACCTACATTTTTTAATGTATTATCTACAACAAATTATATGTTTTGTTCGTGTCTTTATCATTTAAGCCAACCCTGATTTTTTCTTCTCTTCCCAGGGGCCAAATATTCATATTACACGGTTATCCGACGACATTTGCTGGAGCTGTATAAAATTAATCGGTAAGGAGGGAAGATAACTCGTAGTTCGCGTCCTGGACAGGTAAACAACCTAGGAGACACCTCGTAGTTGGCAGTCAACGGGGATAGAGAGAGAAACACGTATTAATGTAATATATGGAACTTATCCTGTGGTTTTTATGTCGATAATCCTTCATATCTGTATGGCCAATCAAACCACATATGTTTAAAATTCTTCTTAATTGTATACGTTTGGGTCAGAAAGATGACATTCTTCAGTACAATTGACACTTTTTTGAATATTTATTTTATTCATCTGTCTTCCAGGTGACACATTGTTTTTATTTTTCATTTTCATATTCCGTTCCAGTCTAAATTTCATTTCAAGATGACACGACGCAAAACCAGCATAGCCAGGACCGTTTGTGGTAAGTATTCCCGCTCCCAAAAGGACGTCCAGCCTTCTTTGGAAGGCTTTGACGACACGCAAGCAACAGATTATCTGTCTGTTTTTTATGTACCAGATACCTAACCCTCGTCCATCAGTCCGAAAACTCCAAAATCCCTCCAAAAAACGCGACAGTCCACCTAGAACTGTTGTTATAACACTCTATTCAATTGTCATGCAATATTCGACTAAAATGTTGCAAGTGCATTGTCCATAAATCTGAAACGCATGAAATAGTACTTTGTCAGGTGATAAAATAATATTAGACACAACGTTTATTTCATTCAAAAAATATTTAAACCCTCTTTAGTGTGAGTTCATTTTGCAATAATATCGTCCACGTATCTCCACCAGACTATTAGTTTTGTTGTGTCATTGATTGTGCGTAGTGCCATCTTAAAATCTGAAAAGATGTCTCCGCGCAATCTCAGTATGTTACGGACCTTTAACATATTGTAGTAACACACTGTATAGGAATTTGAAAATGAAAAGAACAACCAAACGGATTGTCACCTCCTGTCAAAAAAGTGTTAATTGTACGGAAGAAGATCACCGTTGGGCCCGAAACAGATACAATAGAGAAGAATTTTAAACACATGTGGTTTGATTGGCTAGACAACCATGGGGGGTTAAGAAACACGTATGTTGTGATGCGTGATAAAAGAAGAACGCACTGTCGTTTGTGGTTAGTATCGGGGACAGTTCATTCGCGCTCTCGCTCTAATATAGGTATTTCTCTCTTTCATACGCATTAAATGCTGAACCTCAATGAGTCTCTGGCGATCATGGATACCAAGAGGCTTAAGGGAACTCTCAATAAAAGCAAAAGTGATCGTTCTCACCAAAGCAACTGCAACCAAGCAGTGGCGTACGATGTGATGCCACTCTCTTCCGCTTTGGTACCAGAGTATAAGTACATACTCAGTGACTTTTTCCCGAATTCAAAACGAGTCTGCCAATTGCTTATCTGCTGCTTTCGGTTTTAGATTTGGTGAGAACAGTGCGTAAGGATGCCCAAGAAGATTAAAAAAAAATGGTAAATATGGTAAATAATAAATCGGAAGTGATAATTGCAAATAAGAGTGAATCCTGATACAACTTGTGAGTTTCTTTTTCTGCATGTCCCGATCTTCAGGGCGACTGAAGAAGGAAATGGCTCCAGCAAGCTCTGTCTGTCCATATCTGTTCCTGACAGGGGTTTCAGGAAAAACCTCTATCGTTTCCTTCATCAGTTGAGCTGTTAAGGGACAACTGCCGGTAAGCATCGCCTTCAGGCTGCTCAAATCAACGCCTTTCGGACATTCTTGGAGAATTAAAGGGAGGTTGTATGGTGGCACCAAGGTTAGGGCCACCTGGAGAGGTAAAGCGAGGAAGATGATGGATCGTTTATGTAAATGTGTATGTATGTATCAGTAGCTACTCGTAGTGCTTATGATAGTCTACTCATCTACGAATTGTTTTGTTTTATTCGATATTGGAAAAAACAAAGAAAAAACTCGTCACTGGTGCGTGGAACCCCTGACTTCCCAGTTTGCAGTTGCTGGATGCACTCAAAAGGTGATCATATTTGTTCGAAGCCCACGGATGACGAGTTTTTTTTCTACATTTCTAGCTTTTTTAAAAATACGAAAAAATATTGTTGAAATTCACCCACATTCTAAGCTATGGTATAATAAGGTACCTTATACTTTTCTACTATCTCAAAGAACCTCTTGGCATTAAAGCTCTTACAAAGAACTTTTGCTTCGCCTTTCAAAACAGCTCCTATCAGTGTACCCACCGCGCTTATCGCGTATAGTGTTGAATAAAGGAGAATAACTGAATCTACAGTATCAGAATCTGAAACCAGATGTATGTATTCTAAATGTGATAGACGTAATCACCGATATTTTATACACACTTATAATTTCTGGCCAGTCATCTCTAAAACTTCCCGATTGTTTCAGTAGTGTATAGTGGTTTAGACATATTCCTTTAGGCAATCCAGTGGTTCCACTGCTAAACACGACTACAGCAGTCTTTTTTGGATTACTTGTTTCGTATACCTACAAAAAGTCTCACATAGTAAACAACTTTTATAGCGACATACAGTGTTAAAAGTACAAAAAACAGAGCCTAGTTTTTAACTCGATATAATTAACCACTATCTAAGGCCCGTATCGACAGTCGTCCCTACAATTGTAGGGCGCCTTTATGGCCTCCTTGATTGTCATAGTTTTATACTTCTCCGTGTCAGAACTCTATTTGAGGTTATGTCACAAACATCTATTTGCATCAAATTGTGCTTGCTTTTGAGTTATATCATGTTTTATCAGCCTGAAATTTCCTACAATGTAAAAAGAAGACATATCTTCACAATAGGAGAGCGCTGACGCTGACACGGGACAAGTGTAATCTAGAAATTTTTGAAAGTGAGACAGGAGTATGACAATCAAGGAGGCCATAAACGCGCCCTACAATTGTAGGGACGACTGACGATACGGGCCTAAGAGATTCCAATTTTAGAATAAAGCTGTGCTTTTCAAAAAGAATTAAACATGGAGTTCCATAATTTAACCGGACGATATGTGAGCCCGTTCTACGAGGGATGTCTTTCAAGTTTTGCATATAGAAACATAGTAGGCCGCGCGGATCGAACGTCAGTACTGAATCTTAACCTCACTCTTTAGTAAACTTAAATTCAAAGTTTCACAACAATACGTGCAGTGTTCTCACTACAGTGAATTTTTAAGTGTCACCAAGTCATTACAAAAATTAAACTCAACCGAGAACATTTTCGCGCCATAATTTATTACAACTTTCAGAGACAATTATCGCAACAAGAATGCCTTGCTGAGTTCCTCTCTGTTTTCGGCAACGAAGCGCCACATCAGTCGAAACTTTCCCGTTGGTATGGAGAATTCAAACGTGGATATGTGAGTCTTAGCGACGATCCCAGGGTGGGTGCACCAAAAACGGCAGTCACCCAGGAAAACGTCGATGCTGTGCGCAAACTCATCATCGAAGATAGACATGTGACATATCGCGAGATTGAGGCGTCCTTGAAGATCTCAAAGATCTCAATTCAAAAAATTTTACATGAAGAATTAGGAGTAGGAAAATTAGTTTCTCGTTGGATACCCCACCTGTTGACTGAAGAGCAGAAAGCAGTCAGGCTTGACCGTTTCAATTCCGGAAACTTAAAAAATGTGTACAGCATTGTTAGTCGTGATGAATCATGGATTTACTGTTATGAACCAGAAAATAAACGACAGTCGGCTGTTTGGGTGTTCCAAGGTGAAGAAAAGCCAACAAAAGTCATCCGTTCTCGAAGTGTTTCGAAAAAGATGGTCGCGACATTTGTGTCAAAAGCGGGTCATATTGTAACAATTCCTTTTAATGAGCAAAGAACTGTTACTGCGGATTGGTATACCACCATTTGTTTGCCAAAAGTCATCACAAGGTTCGAAAAATCAACCCCGAAAGAAGAATCATCCTCCACCAAGACAATGCAAGCTCGCACACAGCCCAAAAAACAAGGCAGTTTTTAACGGAAGAAAACGTGGAATTATTGGACCATCCTCCATATAGTCCCGATCTAAGTCCTAACGATTTCTTTACTTTCCAGAAAATTCGAAACAGACAGCGTGGTCAAAGGTTCCAGTCACCAGAAGAACCAGTTGACGCATTAAAAAATGTCAAAATGCCGTTTTGGATCTGCCAGCAAACGAGTGGAATAAGTGCTTCAAAAATTGGTTCGAGCGCATGCAGATGTGTATTAATCTTCGTGGAGAATACTTCGAAAAACAATAAAATCATTTAAAACTACCTACCGTGCTGTTTTATTTCCATATGCAAAACTTAAAGGACATCCCTCTTAAGAAGAAATCTTCATATAAACGTATATCCTAAGCGTCTCAACTTTTGTGATACATGGTGATGAAGTTTTTAATATATAGAGTGTGGCCCATCCATGTGTGGACGGAATATTACTCATAAACAAATACATTTTGGGGAAATCTATTTATGGCATATTATACATGATATTTGAGGGCACATATCTAAAATATTGGCAATTATACAGGGTGTCCCAATTCCGACGTACATATCAAAGTTGTGATTCTTTGAATGGAATGCCTCAAATTTTATTGCGTATTTGGATAAACCAATTCAAAAGAAGAATACTGAAAAACCGTCCAGTTCTGCAACCCCTCAATCCACCTTTTTGAAAAGTGTTGAATTTTGTATCAAAAAAAAACTTACACACCTCAGCTTTTATTTTATTTGTTACTTTTTCGAATTTTCATTTTTGCTCATACAGTGTTGTCAAAAACGCGAATTTTAATTTTTTGTCAAAAATTACAAATGCATCACCCTGTATATTTGTACAAGTATGGATTCAATTTGTTATAAGCTATAAGGTTTGATTCAGATAAAGTCACTAGATTTTGTGTTATTAAGCTTTTAATAGAACACACCAAAATTAAGGGAAAAAATCACAGTGGGCTAGTTCCAAAATGCCACTAAGAGTGGCAAATTTGTCGTAAAAACTAATAACAATCAGAACAGTATAAATCAGCTTCAAGCGTAATAGAGAAAAACAACTATAACAGAAACATAAACAAACAACTATCACTACTCAAGACCTAATCTACAAAAAGTGTTTGAAAATATCTCCACCATGTTGGATGCACAGCCGGAGTCTTCAGATACATGACCGTTGCACATTCCTCAGCATATGTTTCCTTATGTTCAGAAAAGCATCCTTAATCCTTTCCTTCATATTTTTTTTTTATATTCCAACTACCACGAATGCCTAAGGCCTAAGCACCCATTGGGTACCGTGGGGCTATGGGGGATACATGGGAAAGGGGGGACGCCACACGGACTCTGGCGAGGGAACACGTGTGCATGCAACATGCACACATTCTGGCTCCGCCTACGAGAACCGCCGGGTGGTACCTCCGCGTTCGACAGTCAGAGACCATCTACCACCTACGGACAATCACAACATCCATAGCCAAGAGAAAAGTTTCTCCTGGGACGGGACTCGAACCCGCACAGCGCACGGCTACTGATCAGGAGACTGAAGAGTCTACTACTGCGGCCACCCCTTTCCGGGGTAGATGGTGGACACCTATAAACCTCTTGCTTAACGTAGTCCCATAGAAAGAAGTCCATCGGTGTCATATCTAGTGATCTAGGAGGCCAAGATATAGGCCCATCACGACCGATCCAACGATTGTTACTCTAGGTGTCCAAATAGTTACGCACACGATTATGATGATGCGCAGGTGCGGCGTCATGTTGGAAGTACATATGCATCCGAGTTTGCAGGTTGTCATCCTCCAAAAGCAAAGGCAAATGATTGATCAAAAAATTCAAGTATTCTGTTGTCGGAAAAGAAAGGCCCGATAACTTGTCTGCCCATAACTCCTCCCCAAACATTCAAGCTCCATTTATTTTGGAAATCTATTTGCCCAACTCAGTAAGGGTTTTCCGTCGCATAATAGTGCATGTTATGCCTGTTGACAAGACCTATGCTGTTGAAAGTTGCCTCATCGCTGAAAAGAACCTTATCCAGGAAAGTAGTGTCTTCACTCACTTTATTTAGCATTATTCTACTAAAGTCCATTCGTGCTGCGAAATCCTGAGGACGAAAGGCTTGATGCAGGCATAGGTGATATGGATAGTACCTATGCTTGTGACTAATCCTTTGGACAGAAGTTCTGCATGTATCAGTTTTTGCTAAAATTTGCCGTGCACTTAAATTGGGATTTTCCTGCAACTTTAATAGAACCTCCAACTGATTCGCCTCATTGGTGACACTTGGATCATTTATACATTTTTTACTATATTCCACTGCTCCACTTTATTCTAAACGTTCTCGCAGTGTGGAAAATGTTTCCGACCTGTCGCATATTAGGGTACCGTTGCTTATAAATGCGATATGCTAGGAAACTATTTCTTTGAGCTTCGTCCAAAACGAACACCATATTCACCATTTCTTATTTAGAAAAATTCATTTTCAAACACCTTTTTATTATAATGCTCACAAAGCTAATTTTGACAGTTTGTAACTAATTAACAATTTATTTGTCTCGAATGATGACGATATTTTAGGCAATTAAGCCGTTCCATAAAAGACGTGCTAATAACCGAAAAAATAGCCATAAAAACCCTTATGTGTCTAGTATCAAAAAAAGCTTATAAGAAATTGAATCCAAACTTGCACAAATATACAGGATGATACATTTGAAATTTTTGAGAAAAACTACAATTAGCGTTTTTGACCACCCTGTATGAGGAAAAATTAAAATTCGAAGAAGTAACAAATAAGATAAAAGCTAACGTTTTTTTTGATACAAAATTCAGTACTCCAAATTTCAAAATGTCGGACTGAGGGGTTGCCGAAGTGGGTTTTTTTTCTAGGCAAAACACTTTATATCTCAGTAGCTAATTACCAAAACCCCATAGTATGTTATATCAATTTTCCTCATTTGCTTAATCCAGATATGCGATAAAATTTGAGGCATTCCCTAGAAAAATCTCAACTTTGATATGCAGGTCGAAATTGGGTCATAAATAGATTTTTCCAATATGTATTTGTTCATGAGTAATATTCCGTCCACACATGGATGGGCCACCCTGTATATATTTAGAATTAGAAATAATGCTACTATGACTTTCACTAAAAATATGCAGCTTGCTTAATTTGCACTTCATTTGATGACACTTCTCTGAAAAACGTTATACTAGAGCCTATAAGGTTTGGATAAATCTTTTTTTAATACAGTCATACAATAGGTTAAAGGAGGGTAATTTATAGCGGGGCAGCCTGTATAAAATTTTAGTTACATTGATTTTACCTTGAACTGCCTTTCTTTGATGTTCGGCTTTAAAAACTCATCAAAACTCATGTATTGGCCTCTGCTTTCCCCAAACACAATAGTATAGGCTGGTTTCACCTGTGCTTTTTCCATATATGTTTCAAAATCTTTCAACATTTCCTGAGAAATAAATATCACTTTTGGCTGCATCAATCTGAAAGTTATCAAAAATACTGCCTGAAAGGGATATTTGAAAACTCATATTGATTCAAAAAAAGTCACTACAATTTAAAAAAATCATCTTGATTCAAAAATTAATCAGTAAAGATAAAAATGTCTTGGGTCGCTGAGATCCCAGTACCACGTTGCTATCAGCGCATTCTTTCTAACATACGCATCACACGCTTCCCGAGCTTCTCTCTCATACACATTACCTCGTCAGTGATTTGGATTTTTCTGTATTCGCGTCTTTGATACGTCTTTTTCTTTTAAGAATTGATTTACTTTTCCTAGAAAAAACAGTTGTGTAACTTAGACAATTTTTCCAGAGGTGAGCATCGCGACGCATCGTAGGTTAGTCTTTTAACGGTACTTTCAAAAGTTTAAATATTTGAGAGACTTGCAACAGCTAAGTATACTTTTTTCACAGTGGAATTCTGTGGCTACAATGTTAAGTTGAAATTGAAACCATATTTTAGGCCATATCATGACATTACATGTTTGAAACATTTGTTTTTGATTTACTTTGCAATATTTCGCATTTCAAATGATGCACCATTGTGAGACATTCAAGGTATACAAGCTGTTTCAGAAAGACTTGCCAATGATTCTAGGATAGAAAGTACATCCAAAAATAAGAAGAAAAGTTTCTATAAATATGGGTCCAAAGATGCTCGCGTACCGAAAATACAGATGAAGTTTTATTAACGAAATATAAGAAAATTAGATCTACGATGCTGGTAAAGATACTGAGTTAGGATTTAAGATATTCAGTGAAAAAAGTCATCAGCAATATACACACACAGTTTCCAGATCCAAACTATACCACGGACGTAGAAACAGGGGTACATGGACACCTAATAGGAAATATTTTCTATGCCACTGGCCTTTTCGGAGGAAATAGGTGCATTTTATAAATACCATACAATTTTCCGTAAATCCTGACTCTTAAGGATTTTTTCTCAGATCACTTGTTTTGGAGATATTGAGATTTGAATATTTGAGATAAAATCCTAAAGTATTCTTATAAAAAGGCTTAGCCTCTTGGCATTACCAATGCTAAATGTTTCTATTTGTCTAAAATCCAATCAATTTAAGAAAAATTCTTATTATTTTACTTATAAAATATTCAAATATCTCCAAAACAAGTAATCTGACAAATTGAATGGTATTTCATAAAATGCCCTTTTCTCTCCGGAAAGCTCAGTGACGTAGAAAATATGTTCTACTAGTGGGCCAGGAACCAGAGATTCTAAGTCCCTGGTTTAGTTTGCGCGTGAAACTCTGTGGGTTTATTGCTTATGATGTGCTGACTGAACTTACCCGCTTCGTAAACACTTAACGTAAACTTCACCTTGCATCTCGGTAGGGGAGTATCTCTGAACCTACATTTATAGGAACTTTTCGGATGTACTTTCTACTCTGTGAATATTGGCTCGACTTTCTAAAATACACGGTATATTCGCCAACTTAAACGTTCAATTTTGCCGAAGGTAGCTAACGCGAAGCTCAAAGCTATAGAAATTTCGAACAATTACGTAATGGAATCGATGCCTTGTCAAGCCAATCAGGAACGCAGAATCTAAAGCTCATATGAATCTGAGCTGTCTTTGGGAGGAGGTTACAAATGAGAAGTGATAGTTCTCACAGCGGAGGTAATTTAGATTTGCTAAGGACTAAACATAGATTATCCTTACGTGAAGCGTGTCTCTGCAAAAATTAGTAATAGTCGTTACTGACGTAACTTTTCAACTTTTAGCGTATTTTGTTTAATTTCATTTGTGTTTTTTTGAGAAGTTCGAATGAAATAAAGAAAAGCAAATAAAATATCCGAAAAGGCAATACCGCAATGTAGTCTCAGATTGTATATGTACGAGCCCCTTCCCACTTCAGTTGGCCCAACTATTGAAATATTATATAGTAGAAAACACCAACTTTATCAATCCCTAATCAAATTTCTAGCTCAAAAATAACACATGTTGCACTTACAGCATATCAACCTATTTTCATTTCAATGCAAAATAAGTCTATAACGCATAGGTGGCTGTGAAAAATAAAAGCCATGACAATTGTTTTTATTAATCACAGCTGTCAGAATACGTTTAAAATAGTTTTGGGTAGTTAAGGTTTTCAAAATGGGTCGAGGAAAGGTTATTAGTGAGAAAATTTGGTTACTGATAATTAATTTTTTTAATTCTGGGAAATCAAACTCAGAAATTGCAACTTTGTTAGACATATCGCGGTACAGTGTGAGAAATATTGTTAGAAGATATAACGTAACTGGTTCAGTTAATATTAAGCCACGATTTGTGAAAAAAAGTAATATCACAAATGCCGACCGAAGAGCAATAAGAAGAATAATCGTGGAAAACAGGCGTGCTAATTATTTCCAAGTAAGTGCTCTGTGGAGTGACGCTGTTGGAAGGAGAATTTCGAGGTCCACAACTCATAGAGGGGCCCACAAACTGGGATTTAGCACTTGCAAGGTAAGTTTTCTTATAAAAAAAAGTAAAGTAAAAACCCTAAAGCTACACAACTTGTTTATAGGCCAAAGAAAAGCCACTATTAACTCCACTGCAAAAGAAAAATTAGCTTAGATGGGCTAAAGAACATAGACAATGGACACCTCAACAATGGTGTGCAATACAATGGAGTGGTAAGGCCCGATTCGAAGTTTGTGTTGATGACAGTCGCAGTAGAGTTATTCGCAAAAAAATGAAGCATTCCATGTTGACTGTCTGAAGAGAAAAGTGAAATTTCCTGCATCCATTATGGTCTGGGGCAGTATGTCATCAAAAGGAGTAGGGAAACTTCTTTTTATTGATGGAAATGTGGATACGATACAAACAAATATTCGGCAATTTTAGAAGAATCGCTTTTACCAGTGATGGAAGAATATTTGACATCCGGCCAAGATTTTATGTTTCAGCAAGATGGTGCAGCGTGCCATACCTCAAAAAAGGCTATAAAATGGATGGAAGAAAATAATGTACCACTTTTGAAATGGGTTTCTAGCAGTCCAGATCTGTTACCTATTAAAACTTTATGGCACGAGATGAAACCGAACTGATACAAAAGCTTCAAGAAGTATGGGATTGTTTTACACCAAATTTTTGCCAATACTTGGTTAACACTATGCCCCAAAGAATTTCAGCCGTGATAAAAATAAAGGTGACGTTACCCAATGGTAATCTTTCAATTGTTGATTTGTTAGCTTCGCGCATTTATTCGCACATTGTTTATTTGTTCAGATGTTCTATTAGTTATAGGAATAAGTGACTTCAAATATGTATTTTTTACGACTAGAGCGTATTTAAAATGTTTTTGAGAAAATAAATTGTTTTAGAAGTAAATAGTTTCGTCATGTTTGGTTTATAACGGCATATTTAGGTACAAATCTTGAAGTGGACTAACTGAAGTGGGAAGGGGCTCGTCTATGCTCCAAGGACGTATTATTTTTCATGAAAAAACTTATTACAGATTGTGTGCATAAAAAATAAGCTACGCAAGTATCGGGAATACACTAGCTTTTATTTATTTATTTATTTCCAACAGGTGAAACCCAATTACAGGAAACGCTGAAAAAAATAGCAATTAAAGAGACATGGTTCTTGGACTTAAATCTATAGTATCACACATTCTAAATAAGATTGGATGATCTATAACAGTTAATAATCGTTGCACAACTGTCACTGTAAATATCACATGATTCAGTAACACTGTTCATGACGCAGCACATGAAATTAATTGGCGATTTTGTCATAACATTTGTACGGCCAGCTTGACAATAAAATGCCATTTGTTGTCGACTCCCTAGCCTTGGAACGCGGAAACATATTTTTTCAAGTAAATTTTGACAGTCAATTTTGTTGTGAATGAGGCCATACAAAAACGACAAAGCAAATATGTTTCGTCTTGTTGACAGTGAATCCAAATTGAAAGACTCTAATAGGGCACTATGGTCACAACCTCTTTCTGGATAAGAACCTGTGCATTTAAGGTGAAAATACTTTAAAGCTTTACGTTGAATGGCCTCAAGGATCACGACAGAATTTTGGTATATAGGAGACCAGATCAGAGTCGCATACTCCAACTTGCTCCTGACAAAAGTAAAAAATAAAGTTATTAATGTATCAACATTGGAGAAACCCTTCCAGTTTCTGATACAGAAACCAAGTAGTCGAGTGGCAGCCGACGAGATATTGAGTACGTGCTCAGTAAACGTTAGCTTGATATCAAATATGACTCCAAGGTCTCTATAAGAGGTGCATCTGTCTATAACCTGACCATTGATGTTATAATTATCATAATTTAAATAGTTCACTTTTCTTGTATAAGTCATAACTTTACATTTCGAAACATTCAGACTGAGACAGTTTCGTGAACACCATGACGAAATTAGAGCTAAGTCATCTTGCAACATGACGCAATCCTCGACTGTCTTGACTGACGTGCAGATTTTGAGGTCATCAGCGAAAAACAAATGGAAACACTTCAGTTCAAAAGACAAGTCATTAATAAATATTAAAAACAATAATGGACCTAGATTTGACCCTTGAGGTACCCCATACGTGGCCCGATAATAACTCGACCTATGACCACCATATTCGACAAATAACCTTCTATCCCTCAAATATGAATTCATGAGCGACAGCATTGCATCAGACATACCCACTGTTTTAAGCTTATCCAGAAGTGCATAATGATCAACTTGATCAAAAGCCTTCTGAATATCTGTGTAGATGACATCAACTTGTCCCTGACCGTCCAGTACTTCAGAAATGTATTGAGTAATTAGATCCAAGTTGGTGACCGTAGATCTGCCTCTCATAAACCCATGCTGATTAACAGAGACTGCACCCCTGACCGAGCAGTAAACCGTTTCATAAGCGATGATCTCAAACAACTTGCTGAAATTGCACAGGATTGCTATTTGGCGATAGTTGGAAATATCAGAGATATCTCCACTTTTGTGAATAGGACATATTTTAGAGGTCTTCCAGATATTTGGATATGTCTCTGATTTTAGAATTAGGTTGAATATGGAAGCCAGCGGTTTCGCTAGTATATGAATGCAATCTTTAACGAAAAAACTTGGAATACCATCACATCCAGACGTCATTTTGTTCTTTAATCTTTTCGAAGCCCTAATTACGTTTGCTTCACTTATATTTTTTAAAGAAATGATATCGGTAGAATTATTTGTTAGAGGAGATGACCCTAGTACACCAGACGGGATAAAAACTGTTGAAAAGAAGGTAGCAAAACTGTCCACTATATCCTGAGGCGTATCGCAGACATTGCCGTTAAGCGTCATCCTGGGGGGGATTCTAGATTGCTGTTTTTTGATCTGGGCAAATGACCAGAATTTGCTAGGATCATTGACAATGGTATCCTCAGCCGATTGGACGTAAGCGGAGTAGGCAACACTTATCTGGTTCTTAATGAGCTTCCTAAAATTACTGAACTGATCATAAGAAAACTTAGTACCGTCACGTTTCCAGTTCCTTCTTGCTATGTCCTTCTTCTTGATATTAAGTATAATTTCACGTGTGAACCATGGGGGATACGAAAACATTTTATTTTTACATTTAGGGACATGGACCTCAAAGATGTTATTGATAACTGAATACAAGGCGGTACAAGCGACATCAACATTAACTGCACTGATCACCTCCGTCCAATTAACATCTTGCAAGGCTGTGTACATTTCAGGAAAGTTAGCTTTGCGAAAGTTGAACCGTGGAGAATTAGCAAATGGGAATTTCGTTGGAGATCCGGATGTAATGAATTCCATGATCAGTGCAGGATGATGAACGTCCGCTTTAACAGAAGGTGTATTATCTCTGAGGACTTCTATTTCGATATTTCCTAAAATTAAATCCAGAATTCGACCATTTATATTTGGAATATTATTAAAGTTAGTTAAATCTAAAAACGAAATAAAGTTGCTCATTAATTGAGACTTCTGATCATTAACGTCACTGTTGAAGGATGCGACATTAAAGTCACCAACAACAATTATTTTACAATTACTGAATGCATTGTTAAATACTTCCAAAGCTTCAAGGTACTGACTAAACATGTCCAAATTAATTGAAGGCGGAGCTTACAGCAGAGACGGTCGCCATTTACTAAATCCAAATTCCCAGTTCCATGATTCAAATTATCAAATATCAAATTATCATAGAGAATGTATCAAGGTTTGGGAAAGGCATTATGAAATCAGACTTTGCAAATCGCATCCACAATTGTAGTAAGCGAATACAGAAATTTTCTCAAATCCTGGCAAAAATTATATTATTTGTGAAAAATTGGGTTGAGGTAATTGAAATAGTGTACTTTAGCTTAACGAAATATTGTATGTCCTGCATTTAGACCGAGTAATTTAGTACTCGGAAAAAACGGGAACTCTGTAATATGGGCCGAGTACCGGGTACAAATCGAGTTCTCGGTGCATCTCTAATATTCAGGTAACATTGCATGCCAACTCCAAATGTGACAGTGAAGTGATTCTGTAGTTTGTAGTACCAGCTAATTCAGCTGCTCAAAATGACGTTAAATTCGAAATCGTAGTTACTGATCTTTTTTATATGATACGTTTTATAATAATGGACATTTATGCCCATACTTCTAAAACAGGACATTGCCGGATTAAACGCACTATACTCGTAGATCCCTGACGGACCCATTTTTAATATTTCTGTTACGTGGTACATGGCCACTAAACATTAAAATGTTTCTAGTGCAATTAAAATGACCACTACTTTGGGTCGCTGAAAGCGAATACGGAGTTATTTTAAATGTATCCGGTCTCGATTATGATTGCAAAATATGCGACTATCCCATGCAAAAATTCTATTTTCGTTATTGGTATTGGTATGTGGTAACGAAAAATTTCTCGATTTTCCGTCTCCCGCTTGATTACCGAGCATACCTTTGGACGGACGGCACCAAACTCTAAGTGCCATGTATCCTGACTTAGCTTCATATGAATTTTTCGTACTGAATACTGTGAGAGAAAGTAACGGAACAGCTCTGCATCCTTTCAAGTCAAGGTTAGGTCGGCTGTCCCGAGGAAAAACACAGGTCACATATAATGTATGTACATACTATGTACTAGATCTAACCCTAGCTTGTAAATAACTTGAATACTTTTTAGGAAGCCAAATAGTGAAGATACATGATTGTAAAACACTAGACTAGAAAACACAGCATCTGCGTTCAGACCACAGATCAAACCAAGTAAATGTACCGACCAATCAGACAGATGGAATGGTGACATGACATGGTAAATACTGTTTTCTTCCAGAACACAATATTTGTACATCAGTATTCAGTAACACCTGTGGCGTTCACAGGAAAGGACGTATGTTAACACGTTTGTATTCAAAGCGATTATTAGTGAAAATATATACGTTCATTTGAGCTCACTCACTTTGTGTGATATTGTTAAAGTGAAGTCTCTAAATGACACTCTTAGTTTTACAACAACAGAGAAGCGTCAGTTTAAAATTTATGTGTTTTCTCCACCTCGAATTGATTTTTGACTCACGGTCCAAACCGTGGAAAGAACTGATTAGTATCTACAAATGTAGCATTTTCTAAATATTTTGTTCCAGTTTGGCAACACTACCTCATTATATCCAGAGCCATCTATGAGCGATTCCTTGACAGGGTGTCCAGATTTGACCGGTTGTTATAAAGACGTTCCAAGTAGATTCTAATACAAGTACTCTTTGAACAAAAGTTGATTTAACCTATAATCTTGAAGGTAAGGCTCAACGTCAAATCTAAGAGCACCATTTTGTTCTCTTTATCCAAATTAAGTATAGGTCTGACCTTGATCTATGTCGATAATACCTCTCCTCGAAAAATACAGAGCTATTCCGTTACTTCTGTTATACCCTGTGTATGTGAGAGAACAAACCTGAGCAATGATACAGTATCAATATCCGATATCGCAGGGTCGAAAGTAACTGGTATAGCTCCAATAAACGTGCTAGCTATGAAAGGTACGCAGCTGTTTCTATGATTATGTGTACATGCGCCGACAATATCGTCTTCTCCAATGTCCAGTTCTTGAAGTTTCATGGCTACCCTGACGCATCTCGTGAGGAGCGCGCCGTAAGTGTCCACATAGTCAGTTTCATCTTCATACTGGAAGCAACAAATGGTAATTTAGGAGAATCGAGTAGATATGTCAATTGAAGGAAAAAACAAGCTTTCCACTCAGTAATTAGAAATCTACAGCAACGGTATAATAAATAAACGTTCCTTAACTTTACCCGGAAGCTATTCTACATGGGTGAAGTATACAAGTGATGGAGTTATTCATTGCAGAAGTCATCGATTAATTGCTTATATGCTAATGATATAGCAATGATGGCGAGCTTCGCTTTTGTTCTCGTAGCTTTCATTTTCCTTACCTTAAACTTACCTGTGCTATTCTGTTCCTGAAGTATTTCATATGAGCATACAGAGCCAATCCTAGGCTGTATCTTGTGTCTGAAAAAAGAGTACACTTATTGTATATTGCCTCTCTTAGGTACTAGAACAGTCTCATTATGGTATTCTTTAGTCGCTACACAGAGTATTATTGAAATAGATCTCCAAATATTTGCGCCATATTCCATAAAGACAGACAGTATAGCACCTTCTGAGCATAGAACAGCTCTGGTGCGGGAGTGCAGCACAACCCTCCAAAGTCTAACTCTTACGAAAGACGTGTGTTGTGGGTACCTGGGCAAAGAGGCTTAGCCACATAACGAGAAAGCTGGTCTCCAACACTTGGGCCCAAGAGATATTGCAGGAGTCCCGAACCGTTCCGTATTCTGCGTAGAAGAAAGGGCGATCAGCCAAGATCACAGCGTTTAGGCCTCATTGGTTGCTTTGTACATTCTCCCCTGGGGTTGGTCGATGCTGGATCGTCGGCCAACCGAGACTGTTGAAAAAGGTGATGTTGCGACACAATGGGGTTCCCCTAAAAGCCCAGCGTTCCCCCAGAATGGAGTCTCGGATTTATAGGACAGCTGGGCGGACAAGATGTTTCACTCAATCTTATGTTACAGAGATGTTCCTTAGCTGACAGTGTCTAGTCGCAATGCCTGTGGCAAACGAAAGTTGTCGTCTGGAAAAATACATGTAATATTTTGCTACTTCTTGAAAATTCTATACGCTCTTTCAGTCCAGTTCTCAGGACTAAAATGGATAAGATGCAAAGGAGGCACTGGGCCTAGAATTTTGCTATCAGCAAGCCATTTTTCCCGTCTATCAGCTATAATATTACCATTGGTTTGTGAATAAGCCTTCATCCAGGCAACAGATATGTTCTTACTGATGGAGGCATTCGCAAGTGCCAAATGGCGATGCTGTTCTCATAGTAACCATGGAACCCCGAACATCCTTTCCTTTGTATCCCTCTACAGCCCCAAGGTATTTATGTTTCAGACCTTCGTGGTTGCTCAAAGATAATAAAGCATGTTGTAAGGAAGTATTTTTTTGAAGAAAAAGCGTCTGCTACCGGATAACAAAATGTGTTTTTGGAACAAAAAGGTTGGTTTTGCAATATAGCTGTTGTGCTAATAATTATAATTTTATTATATCTATATGAATGACTTCTTGCAGGTGGCAAATGTATGTTTAAAGAATTTTTCTGGTTTGTAAATGAAGAGGATTGAAACGATACTTTTTGGTAGAAAACAAGAAAACTCTAAAATAACTGACTACGGGAAAATCCAATAGGGTATTTACACGGATTTTTGTTTCTGTTGCTACCGAATTTGAAATTGGAATTTTGCTATAGATAGGGAAAATTGTCGTCATATAGATTGACTCTATACTTCCCACGCCTTCGTTCAAAGTCACAAATTTCTAAGCGAAACTTGATTAGGTATGTTGACATGTCTCTGTTTCAACGGTAGATGTATATATGTAATTTCTGAGTATGAGAAGTGATCTCAACGTCGAAACACGGTGATTCAGCGATTTCTGTTTTTTCGTAGCTCCACCGCCTACTGAGTCAATTTTTCTTCCTAGCATAGCAGTCCCATCAACGGGGTACTTTCCGCACGGCTGTTATGTAAAAAAACCTATAAAACGTCAAACAAAAAACAAGAAAATGTCATCTTGCAGACTAGGTTTAGGGTGCAAATAGTTCACTCCACGTTTGCTCACTATGATTATTGTGAGCGTCCGTCTACGGAGGAATGACAAAACTACACGCATTGTTGATTGCAGAAAACAATTATATATTTTGTGAAGCCGAGTACTCTGTAGTGTTTATCTCTGAGAAGATATGAAAGAAAGAAAGTTAGTTGAGTAGCAAGATCGCAACTGGATGATTGTGTGCATAAAATCAGTGATATTTGCAATGCCAGAAACTTATAACTGAATATGCTGTATATGAAGTATATCTATTAGCTGTGCCTGACGGGTTATGTATAAAATATGTTGTCCTTTCTGAAGACAGGTTATGTTAAAAGTTATAAATTACGATTTTTTTGAGTTTTCAAAAACGGGTTATGTATATGTTGTCCTTTCTGAAGACAGGTTATGTTAAAAGTTATAAATTACGATTTTTTTGTGTTTTCAAAAACATTGAGGAGCATTACGGGACATCGCCACCGCGCCCGCGTTGTGTGCAATTAATCCATCAAAACCACACATCAAAAATTAGGAATGACGCATCACCCTTCAAATATTTTCGCGGTGCCTCACATCTAGGCGCTGATTGACATCGGAGATGCATTCCTGTAAAACTTAAATGACTGGCAACAAAAAAAATATAAGAACCTTTCCACTTTCATAAATAATATGTAGCATATCTTCTCACCTGTTACTTCACCAACTAGGGATTTTCTTTTCTTATCTCTCACATTTTGGAAATCCAGCAAATTTGCAGATGTAATTTCCAGGATGAATAAAAAAATGTAGATGCGCAACTAATTTCTAGTTTTGAATACATCTCAAGTAAGTCTATTTGAGACAAGAAACCAATGGAATTATCATCAGCACATGTTACTAGCACACAAATCCTCACTTTGCAACTACATATATGTACTGCCGCTTCCTTCTAGCTATAGTATACGAGTACAACTTACAGCTTAGACCTCCGACAATGCCATCTCTGAAGCAGATTTTACATCCTATCATTTAGAGTGATGCATTGTTCCTAATTTTTCTGTCAAGTTTTTGAAAACACGAAATCGGGAAAAATCGTAATTTGTAACTTTGAATATAACCTATCTCCAGCAAGGACAACATATAAAGAATCAGTCGGACACAGTTAATAGATGTACTTCATTGGCAGCATATTCAGTAATAATTTTCTCATACAGGAAGTACCACTGAATTTATACACACGCAGACTACACAATCATCCAGATGCGATCTTGCTATTCGACCAACCTTGTTTCTTTCATATTTCCTCTACAGACTACTCTGCTTCACAAAACATATACTTGCTTCCTGCAACAATGTGTGTAGTTGAGTTATTCCTCCATAGATGGACGCTCACAGCGATCATAGCGAGTTAGCGTGGAATGAACTATTTGCACCCTAAGATCAACCTAGTCTACAAGATGACATTTTATTGTTTTTTTTTAAGTTTCATAGGTTTTTTACATAATAGCAGTGCCGGGCCGAGTTATAGAAGGGCTAAAGATTAGGGAACAGACCACAGACACGCACAGACATTAGTTATGTAAGATCCAAAAGGCATCTTACTTCCGATTTTTTTGCAATTTCAGTACTCTTCCTTGGCAGTGGCGTAGGAAGTAAAAAAGCAGAATAAGAATTCTGGTCGGAAAACTTCAACCAACTTGTGTAAAATTGTCAGTGTATTCATGAAGAATCTTTATAATTTCAAAAAGCCCACGGTAGTAGTAGAAGTGATGCTACTGTCAAACTGACATAATGAAGTCCAACACTTAATAATATTCGTTACTTAGCTGGGTTGTTTTCTCTGTTATTCACCAATAATAATGAGAGGAAATCTACTTCTCCATATGACGTCGCGGCCGATAATGCTGATTTCACGGGTTATCAGTGAACAAAATTATTTGCTTAGTACATTATTGCGTATATGACCGTAACTGCTATAATTATCAGTCCCTCAATTGTTCTTAATAGCATCCGGGAAATAAAAAGATAAATGTTTAATCTGACAAGTGTGCGACAATCAGATAAGAAACATATTGCGCAACACATTCTTTCAGAAATTGTTAATTGCGCGTGACATCCCCTGCAGTTATTCTGTTGATATGTTTACTATGAAACAGTGCGTTTCACCGAATCTCAAATCGTCCTTAAAATGTGAGCGTCTTGTTCCTAATTCGTTAGTTTTCATATTTTCTCGTAGAAGATCTTATTCCTTTGTGGCTTACATATCTTTTGAGAAAACCACCAAGCTATACTGTAACGGAACGGCTGTCGAGAGACGCCAGGCTAGAACAGGGTGGTATTCTAAACTCTGAGTATTCGATTTACACATTCTAAATAATACACATTTTATTCGGGGTGACAAAATGTCCTACAATCATCTTGACAAACTTTGAGATATTAGAATACAAGTATGTTTAAGCAAGGATTGGGAAAATATGGGCCTACCGTTTTGATTCATTTCTTTATTACAATTTTAGTTTTTATATTATGCTCATAAGATCTCATTCAATTGTTATAAGAATCTTGATTAAAATGGTTTATGAATTTTTGGACTTGCTTTGAGGAGAAAGCTTCCGTATAGTGATCGGCTATCATGAAGCTATTCTAGTAAGTAAGAAGTTTGTATTTTTTGGAAGTATCTCATTTACATTAATATTTTAATTGTTACAACTTTTTACAATTCAATTTTGTGACCTTAAAAATCATAACGTATTGTTTTTCTATTGATGAGCTCGTCTACTTGTAATGAAATATTAAATCCAGTCAAAATCAACAAACATGCTAAGAGTAAGGAACGCGCATGAATACTACCATAATTAAACTGAAAGGAGAATGAAAACTGATTCTGGTCCTGAGATAAGATGCCGCCTCAACGCTTCCACGCTACAAGGCCCGATACATTGGCGTAGACTAGAAGTGCTTGGAACTTGTTTCGTTCAGAGTCTAGTTACCGCGTGATATTGTTTGTTGTTAGAGAAATTGTTATTTGGTTATTTCTGTTGTTACTGCTCGGGTTCCATTTGAAGCGACAAAAGGCCTTTAAGCCAAATGGCGGCAGCAAAATGGGGTAAAGACGAACCGTACATTCATTCTTTATCGGGAATGATATACCAACCCTTAAGGCTATACATGCAAGGTGTCACAGTGTTACGTTTATCGCCCTACCATTGTGAACTGAACCCAATAGAGCACATCTGGGCTCAAGTGAAGGGTTATATTGCGCGCCACACAAGTCTTAAATTACCAGAGGCCAAGTCTTTGATCAAGAATTCCATGCAGCTAGTAACGCCTGAAGCGTGGCAGAATGCTGTCCGTCATGTTGTGAAGGAAGAAACAAAAATGTG